TTCACCAACAGCCCGCAGCCTCATTTAAAACCGCAATGTCGTTTTCTGATGAAACATCAGACAACCGTCTCCCACTGGAGAAATTTAATACGTTACCTATAAAGCCTGCAACTCTCATCTGTATACGTGATGACTCTCACGAGCATCAACTCTTAAAAGACATTGTTAATGTTCAGCCGTTGTTCTCTCTGTTGTCTCTGCTGAATGGAAAGGCAGAAAATGTCTATATGTAAAAATATATATTTTTTAACAACTGACCCATTTATACACCAATATTTAAATTGTCCATATTCAGGACTTAGTATAATGTGTCTTTACCTTTATATAACTACATATAGGCATATATTTAACCAGCACACACTGCTTTACTTATCCTTAGGTCGTAGGCAATGACTTTGTTGGTCAGTCACCTTGGCTATCGTCGATTCTTAAACACAGCTACAGCGACACTTTAGTTTATACAGCATCACTGCTCACCAGGAAATGGTTGATGGTTAAGCACCAAGAAAAAATGTCATTGTGTGTTTGTGTCTGTACAATGACAAAAAAGGAGATTATTTTTCTTCCAATTTTGCAGATCTTGCTCAATTAAAATAAAATAACGTTAGCTAATGTTAGCTATAATGATTTGGCACACAATCCTAAATAAGTGGCTTTTCCATTCTGTTTTATATCAACAGTGTCAGCAGAACTGTTCTGAAGCCTGGGTAAATAGTTTTTTGTTAGTGGAAATTGTCCACAGAATAAGGATTAAGCTTTTGCAGCTAAGGGTCCAGTTGAGGCTCTGGCTAAGGGGAAATAGCAGTTGTGAAAATTCAAACATTTTATTCACATACAGGAACAGAGATGGTAAGCAGCAGATTTTATCTACGAGAGGTAATTAAAAGGTAAAAAACAAAACAAAGTAATAATAAATGGACTGTGTTTGTGGCCTGCCAACAAAAACACCTATTAGGATTAAGGACAGCTCAACATGGAATCAGCATAATGTTGGAGTGCAAACTCATGGGGGACAAAATCCACTCAAGTGTCGGAATAATTTATAAGGAGGTTAGTTCTTTTGGTGGAAGAGTCTCATAAGCGTCTAACAGAGTAACTGGGCAGCATAAGCACTATTTCTACAATCAAATATGTGCTGAGATTAGGCTCTGAGGTCTTACTGCCACCGCCAAGACTTCACTGAGTACAAATGTGACAGTAAATAGCTGCTGTCAGCTGGTAGACTTCATTACAGTAAAGATAAAAAAGAAACCCGTGTTCTATAAGGTTGAGTCCTTTGTCGTCCAGCATCCACCATCAACTTCATGTTTCCAATTCTTCTTTAATCTGGCCGTCAGCTGTGACCACTTTCACAACAACAATATATTATTAGAACCAGTGTCATAAATCAAATGTCCTTTTGGTCAGGAATCATTCACGACAACCACACACTAACTGAGCACATCCACGAAGATTCTTTACACTGGCTGTGGCAGAAACATAAAAAATGCATATATTAAGAGGAACACTGCTCAGTGTACTGTTTACCATTTTTGAGAACTAAAGGGCCATTCCACAGTGCTCCTTTTGCCAAAGGCAATGTGAATTATACGCTACAACGTGCCTTTCACATTTCTCCAAATCTACATGCCCACCGATGTCTGCACTGGCTGATTGTTAGCTGCTATAATGGCGAACAAATCCATTTAGCATTGTGGGATAATGAGTACCGAATGGAGCAATTACCTCTGCTGCTCTCCTGGACAACAGAATGTCTGCAGCTGCAGCACAGCACCATAACACAGCAGCTGTGTTAAAGCTCGGCCTCCTGTAATGTAGCTGAGAGGAGCTGACGCAGTCATATTTAAGAAATATGTACAGTATATTGAGCATTGATTATTCTATTGGACTGGATGACTATATGCACTTTAATCAGCACTTGGATGGATTAAATACAATCAAATTAATAGAATCCAAAATTGTGCCATTTGGTTTGGAGAATTTGAATAAGTACCTACAGTATTTTCTATTTTCTAACAGAATAGACTGTAATTCCAGGTGACCAGTTGTCCTGATTTGTATGTGACTAGATATATTTGGCTTTTTGTCATTGCAAGACAGAATGTACACTTAGATGTAACTTGTATCCACTGGCTTTGGAGGATAGAGGGCGGGCTGTCACCTCACAGGTGCGACTGATGGTAATTACAGTCTCACCTAACACCAGATAAATCTGCCCTTCTTCAAAGAAAAGAACAAGATGAAAGTTATCAAGTCATTCTGTACAGCTGGGATAGGGCTTCAAAGGACTGCAGAGAAGTTTCCTAGGTTTTGTGCCAGACTAACTTTTCGATCAGTCACAGATTGGGACTAATCAAAATTTTGTACCACTCCGTGACCTTGTCCTACTCATATATAATCTTTGTCATCATTTTATTAACTGGGATCTGGCTTAGTGAAAAAGTGCCAAACCTACAGACAATAAATCCTCAGATTGTCTTTCTGACCAGTGCATCTGGGTCATGTTGTCTGATGTGCATTAGCATGTCGTTAGCTGATGTGCTAGCGCTAACAATACAGCACCAAACCGAACAGTGACAGACCATGTCTGCTCCACCGAGCACTCACATTTCATCTCTAAAGCCGAAACATTACCATACAGTGACTGACCAAACCGGATCCTTACTTCTAAACCTTCTTTTACATCTTCAAGCTGTTTTATATTCTGGTAAGGCTCCAGAATGGAATAAACAACTCTTAATTTGTAACTATCGGATTGTTCAAAGTGCTCTGATGATACCCTTGGGCTAAAACTGAAGAAACTGAAAGGGCATTGGTTCACGGCTCATTCTGGCTCTTGTACAGAATGGATCCATTGTTGTACCACTTGACATCTGATACAAAGCCTTGGTTCTTGAATCACAGCAGATTAACTATTTTATTTCTGGATAAATTCTCATTATTTATGTGCAGTATTCTACAACCGTTTATTCACATTAGTGGTCAATGCTCTTGCTACTAATGGTGTCAATTACCCCTTCTTAGTATGGAGTTTAAATCTGGGTTCCTTTGTCTCCTCTATTGGTTTAAAAAACAACAACAACGGAGAGAGAGATTTGATATACAGTAGAGATAGATATCTGTTACGAAGTTGTGTTTCTGCAAAGGGCTGGGTTCATTACTTATTTTAAGTATGACAAAACTTTATTAGCGATGCTGTTCTGATCATGTGGCCTATAATGTAATAATTTGTCATAGGATATCCAGTGCATCTGTCCACAAAACGCCATGGTAAAATCATGTAGTTCACAATGGAATTTGAATTTCCATTCCATCATTTTTTGACTGATAGTTTCGAATAAACGCTTGTTTTTTTTCTCCAGCATAAAAACATTTAATGACAATAGGGCAAAGTAATTACAGTAGGCACTCACACAGGAAACGCATAAAAAAAAAAACATTTTATCGCTCCTTGTTAGTTTAGGATAAATAAATGAGCTTCTAATGCACAAACTGAATCTACAGGTCGGAATTGTATAATGGAATGACAATAATAATAAAAAAAGAAGAATTATATAACCGCAGCCGTGACAACAACACACACGCATCATACACACACACGGAGACTAGACACAACAGACCTCAGTATAACTACACCCACAGGAAATGTTTAATTAGTTCTTCATCAACAGAGATCGGGGGTGGTAGATATCAGAAGTTCTCCCCTCCACTGCAGCATGATCCGAGTGTGTGAACAGTGAGCTGAGAGTGGGAGGTGTAAGGATTTGCTTGGTTAGACGGAGAGCAAATGGTAACAGGGAACTGCATAAAACATACAGTAGATGGAGGTGTAAATGAGCTCAGGAGGAGGAGGTGGTGAGAACAGGAATCTTTGGGAGGCCATGTGTTTGCTGTTGTACCAAAAATTATTTTATTTCATTTGACACTAACTGCTACTGTAATACTATATAAGAGGAGTAAAATTCTTGTTATTTATGCTATTTTATTTATTGTGTATTTATGCTGGCTCCCTGTCCTCTTCATCTAAACAAAACTGAAAACTGAAATCTGACTAAATTTACATCACAAACAATAAATTAAAGGTGTTTTACCTTAAAAAAAAAGACAAGATGAATTCTAAAAGTATTTGTTTTACCTTTTTATCGTCATCAATGTGGTGGCTCTTAAGTCTGTTGCATAAGTTAGAGCTTTTTTTCCCCATAACAGAAAATATTTCGGTCCCATCATTTAATTTAATTAAGACTAAAGAAAGCAACAAATACAGAGTTTGATCCTGGAAAGTTAATAAAGTCAATCATGTCATGATTTGTAATTTTTTAGTCATATTTTTTATTATAGAATGATTATTTTTACATATCTCTGTTGATTAAACCAATATAAGATGGGTTTTGGTGTGTAATAACAAAACAGAGTTGAAATGGGTAAAGGGAAAACCTTTACGCTTTCAGTATTGACAATCTACAGGAGCCTGAATAATTTACGATTTTCTTATGACTTCGACTATATTGTAAGAATAGAAGAAAAATCAAGTCATTCAAGCCACATGTTATCCAATATACTTTATTATGGGATTATGTTATCCCATAATCGCATGAGATCAATTTACCACTAAGCTATAATTATGTCCTCAACTTTAGACATCTGACTGAGTGTTCAAAGTTCTCTCATACAGCCTCACCACACTATGGTCATAGGAGCAACAGGGAATTTATTCAGCTACGACTCATGCTAACGCCACTATTTCTGACTTTTAAAAGGAAAGGCGAGCAAGGTCAGGCAGCTGCGTGGTCAAACTAAATAATTCTAATGACCACAGGGTCCCCACACTTTCAAACACATATTAATGCAATATGTCATGCTGGTGCAGCAGATTAATACACGGCATTACAGATATAAGGTTTCTACCCTCACATTTGTGAGATTTCCCCAACACGATTTGCCTGTAATGAGGTAATACAAAAAATAAATTCTCACTAGTAGAAAATTATACTAGGATTCAGGATGCAGGATGTGGGCTGATCAATGCTAATGGCATTATCATTTTTTCTGTTGCGGTGAGACGATGAGAACTAAGACTGCGATCTAAGGCAAATCTGAGGCTTACATTGTTGATGGAACTGTGATATTTGACAATAACCACTTTACCAAAACTGCATTTTCTACTACATCAAGGAACTAAGGAACTCCTTGTCTGCAAATTTCTAATGTACACATCTATTACAGTCAGGCTGCATTCCTGTAGCAGCACATTTGTCAAAACTGTTTCTCAAACAATGATTCTGGGGCCATTTGCAGTGCTCCATTTGAGCTGTGATAACACCATTTAATCCTTCAATTCCCACCTCTTTTTCTCACCACACCAGATCTCACTTAAATGTATATTTGCACCAGGGGCTGTCTAACCTGGATGATCCCTCTAAAAAAAGACAATTAACACATAGCCTTGGTAATTATTAGTTCTGCCCTATAGGCTGACACAACCTGTTATAGCATTCTACTACAGTAGCTACAAAGTTTAATGAGAAGCTTCACCAAGGTTTACGTGGTAAGGCCGCTGCTTGTAAATAAGCATTTAGATCACAGCTCAACATATCAGAGTGAATGTCCTGCTTCTTTGGCCTTAGCTGGTGACTTGGAAGCCTACGAAGCTTATTACAAACCACTTATGGTTTATTGTGTGGTGACCTCCGCCAGCTGTGGTGATTACGCCAAGGACCAAAGGGACAAGATGACATATAGAGCAATAACAAAGGCACATCAGCAAGTTAAGCTGTTTTAAGACAAACCAAATACAAGATTTTACTCTAGAAACCAGTGCATCACAACATGTCTTCTGAATTACGGTTCTTTGTTTTAGCATTTCAAAAGAGCATTCTTTATTTCTTTTTTCTAATAACCCTTAAAATCTAACACACAGAGCACCACCATGTACATAAACATGTATTTGTTCTGCCATGGTACTATAACAGTATCCCCTGCAATCACGTAAGACTTTATTTATTTATTTATTTATTTTTACAGTATGTTCAGATTAAAAAACATGACAATAATAAGACGGTTAGGTCCAGAGAGCAGAAACCCATTAAACCTCAGAGCTACACACTCATTTTGGACTACTACTCCAGCCCATTAGCCGCAAATAGCATGCAAGAAACAGGCACAAAGAATCATCTGTAACACCAGTCTTAGCCGAGGTGAATTTTAGTAAGTGCAACTGTAGCAGATGGTGCAGAATGGACTTTGAAAAGAGTGCTTTTTCATTTTAACGTCCTGTGTCTGTGGTCTAATGGCTGAAATGTTATCACTGTATATCAAAACTATTGATGGTCTCCTAACCAAACAGCCCATAAAGATGCAGTCTGATCAGCCCTATTTACCAAAAAAGATTAAAAAAAACACAATGACTTTTTTTGTTTATCTAACAGCTTTAGTTTATGGTTTTTTGTATAATTGCTATACATTAAGATTATAGGAAGTATGTATTTAAAATCAGGTTTTCTTAGATGATACAGACATTAAGTACATTTTCAAATGTGGCTTGTGATGTTCTTACTAATCTTTAGTTTACTTTAACGGTACTGCAAACCACATCATTACATTTTGACAGGATTCGTTGGAAAGAGGCTGTACAATCCTGCCAAATATGGTCAACAGCATCCGGGACTTCCTATCGGCACAGGAAAGGCCGCATAACAAAATTCACCACCACCCCCCTCACCTCCCAACAATGACAAGGGGCGGATACGCACGAGAAGTAAAAAAGGACCTGCACAACGATAAGAACTGATTTTGGGGTTTCCGCGGATCAGATATCGGCTTCAGGAGATGTTTCGTTCAGAGACTGAGGATGAATCGGAACAGCTCCAGTCTGATGCAGATCCCAGCAGCAGCACCTGCTGCCGGGGTGAATGGAGTCAGAGTGGGTTTGTCCCAGGAGCGGATCAGTGAGTACAAAGAAACCTCCCTCTTTGTTTGAATTAAAAATGTGACTTTTAACAGTGGCGTCGCACATTTTAACCCTAAATAAAATTTCTAAAGCGATCTAAGAAATTCTACTTTACACGTGATGAAATTTGTAAAGAAGTAATACGAAATGGGATGATAAAGCTGTGTGCAAAACGCACAGGGGCCAGATCAGGTAAGACTGTTCTTGTCGAAATTTTAATTTAAGTTAATTATTAACGGCATCTCGAATCGTTTATATTTATGGAACAAAGTGCAACAGTGACTCTCCGGTAACGCACACAGCTGGTGCACGTGTACTTCCCTGTACACTGTGATCAGGGATAAACGTTATTAGTAATCATATCGATTTTTTTTCTTATCGAGTCAGTAGACGCTGTGCACAGCAGAGGCAGCTCCACAATTTCCATATGTCACTTATGAGCTAGGTGTCTGATTGGAGTGGACGTTTGGTGAGACATTCCACAGCCATGAGTACTTTGAGCTATTTTTTATTACTTTAATCAAATAATAATAATAATAAAAAAATAACCACAGTGCCCCCAAATCCCAGGTTCAAGAAGGGCTTCTGGTGTAAATTCTGCCACTCACATTGTAACTATGCTGTGGTCACCTTTGAGATTCAAAAAGAATGACCAGTAAACTTGCCATTTTGAACCCAACCTTCACCAGATGTTGACATAACCGTTGTTATTTTATTACATTTCAACTTGGTGCTGCAAATACTTGTATATTATTATTATGTATAGTGTACATTTTGGAAATTTAGCCATTTGTTAGCTATCATTGCTGTTCAATCAATGCTGATGTTTGTGTGTTGTGGAAATGGTTTGTAGTAGAAAAGTACTGATTCAGGACGAATGTGTTTTTTTTTTTTAACTGATTCAGTTGTACTTTTTGTCTCATAACCTAATGTTGGTTAGACATTCTGCTTAGACCTCCAACAATAGCAGGAAACATCTGATTCTTGAGAGTACCACCTCGTGCTCAGACCTTTTTCCTCCCCTCATTTGCAAAAGCAGATTTACCTCGAGTAAATAAATACTCATATTCAAAACCTCCTACTTTTCTTGAATTGCAGGAGTAGGTGTAACAACAGTATTTAGCCACCAATTATTAAGAAAGTATCTCTGACACATAAAAGGATTTAGCAAAATCCATACTGTATACATGTTGCAGAGGCCCTTGTGTTTAAGATCTTAGTTAGGCAGAGTATTAGACATGTAGTCTTTGAGGAGGCTTTTCTTTGAATATATAGCCTGGCATTATAAATCCATATATTAATAATGATCCATCTCTGGTTCATCTGGCTTTTACACCCGTCCTGACTTGTCCTGACTGTCACACTCAAATAGTTGAAACTCAGCCAAAAACCTTTAAACACAGAGTAAGCAATGAATAAATTAGTGGTCTGATCAAAAGCGATGATAAGTTACAGGTTGAGGTTTCATTACATTACCTGGTGAAAACAGACATTAGAGACTATACTTCTTAATTTTGATACCTGTTTCACTCATGTAATGTTCTATTGTCTAAGATCCAAATTTGTCATCATTTTGTAAAATTGCTTCATGATTTTTTTTTCTTTTGTGTAAATAAGCCCAATCTATTCCTTGCTCAATTGAGCAAGCAAAGAATGTTTTGTTTAAGCTAGTGGTGTCAAACTTATTTGGTTCAGGAGCCACACACAGTCTAATTAAATGTCAAGTGGGCCAGACCCTTACAATCATCACTTAAATACTTAGAAATAATAATAGCCTATATTTTTTCTGTACTTTATTTTTTGCTTTCAAAATTTATCAAGCTGGCCAAAATGAACCCCTAGCAGGCCAATTTTAGCCCACTGGCCATATGTTTGACAACACCTGGTTTAAACATTACGGAGGTGTGGAGTTTGAAACACATGGCTCATCATAAGGTTAGCACCAAAAACCAACATAGACTAGTAACCATGCAGTGTTTTGTGATTTTTAAAGCAGTGCTGTTTCTTTTTGAAAAAAATCCCTTTTTACATTGCATATAATACATGTTATGGAATAGAAAATAACTGTGATATTCATTTTATTTTGTTTTGTCTCAGGAAAGACTTGACCAATGAGGACAATTCAGGCAAGGAGAGGGAAACTACACCTTTGACCCGAAGATCTACCCGAAAGCGTAGTCAACCTGTTTCGTCCTCTGCTGCAGCATCATCACTGAATTCTCCATCTACCATGTACAAGCTGCGTTCACACAGGAGAAAAACTTATTTTGCAGCATTACCCAGAAACAATTCCTGTAAACGTCCTGATAAGACTTTTTCAACTGCAGGGAGGAGGAACGAAAAGAGAAAATGCCAAGCAGGAAAACAGTCCCAGGCACAGGGAGACGATGAGGATGACGAGAGGTGGTGCGGTGTTGAGGAGGAAGATTTAGAGCCTCCTCAACCACGATTCAGACCTGAGAGAGATGTTGGGCCACAGCTCAACAGAACTGCAAATTACAGACCACTTGATCTTTTCCAGCTCTTCTTTTCCACCAGTGTAATAGACACACTGGTCAAAAACACCAATGCTTTTGGAAAGAAGAAATACCAGAACCAGAAGGAGAGCTGGGTCCAGGTTACATCAGCAGATATGTACTCCTTCATCAGCCTTGTCCTCTACATGGGTATCGCACCACTCAAGACTTTTAAAGACTTTTGGAGGGGATCTAAGCTCTTCAGTCTGCCTTTCCCTGCCTCTGTTATGCCCTGCAGACGCTTCCTAGCCATTTCCCGCAGCCTTCATATGAATGATCCTGTCGTTGAAGCGGCAAATGAGCAAAAGAAGGGGACAACAGCTTATGATCGACTTTGCAAAATAAAGCCGCTGTATCAGCAAATTCTAGAGGCCTGCCACACATTTTTTCACCCCTACCAACATATCTCTATAGACGAACGAATGGTGGCAACGAAAGCAAGGATTGGACTCAAACAGTACATAAAAAACAAACCCACAAGGTGGGGATTCAAGCTTTATGTTCTAGCCGACTCTGTGTGTGGCTACACGCTGAACTTTTTTGTGTACGGGGGCAAAGAATATGAGCCCACAGGAAAAGGGCTGGCCTACGATGCTGTGATGAGATTACTTGACATTCCCTTTCTCGGGAAAGGTTACAAACTCTACGTGGACAGCTTTTACACCAGTCCAGCTCTGTTCCTTCACCTGCTTGGGAAAAAAATCTGGGCCTGTGGCACCGTTCGGTCCAATATAACTGGTTTTCCTAAAACTAAAAACAATTTGATGACCAAAAGCACAAAAAGAGGAACTATCCGGTGGATCAGAAAGGGCAAATTGTTATTTGTCAAGTGGCTGGACACCCGGGAGGTGACAATGTGCACCACGATACACAAAGCATACAACAATGACTTGGCAAAGCGTAGAGTGAAGAACACAGAGGGAGAGTGGACGGTGAAGCAGGTACCAATTCCTGGTTGCATCAAGGATTACAACCGTCACATGGGAGGTGTAGATTTGTCAGATGCGCTTATTGGATATTACAATGTCCTTCATAAAACGCAGAAATGGTATAAAACCCTGTTTTATCATTTTGTGGACATAGCCACCGTGAATGCCTTCATTCTACATAAAGAAATGTGCAAACTCCATAACATGCCAGCAGTTACACAGAAAGCCTTCAGAGAACAACTTATTTTGTCCCTGGCTGAGATTGGTTCTGTTCCACGTCGGTCCCCTCAACAAAACTTTATGGTGCCAGCCTCTCCTTTCAAAGCCACCCCAATAACGTCTACAGCTGCTGGGTCTGCAGACGAGTCCACAGCTACGCCATCTGAAGTCCCAGCTTTGGGTCATCTGCCCTCTTACTTCGTGGAACAAATGACTAATGTGGCCCCCAGAAATCGAGCCACTGCTGGCAGAAGGTCATGTGTGGTATGCAAAAGAAAATCACCAGTCTATTGCAGCACGTGTCAAAAAACACTTTGTTTCACAACCTCAAGGAACTGCTACAGTCAATGGCACCGTCGCAACAGGATCTGTATCTAGGTCTTAGTGATTTACGGTGCAGTGGTGGCTTAGTGGTTAAGGAAGCAGAAGGTTTCAGGTTTGAGTCCACCAGCTGCCAGTTGCCATTGAGGTCCTCTGAGCATGGCACCGTCCCCACACACTGCTCCCCGGGTGCTTAAAGCTGCCCACTGTTCACTTTGGTGATGGGTTAAAAGCAGAGGTCACATCTGTGTCACAATGACAAGTAGTTCACTTTCCTTCTTTCAATTGGTTAAGAGGTGTCCAGGTTTAAAAAATGCCAAGATGAAAGAGGAAGCCATGTTATTGTTACCAAAAGGACCAAAGGTCCTCCTAAGAAAATATTGCATTTGAACTGGAATGGATTAAACACAGTTCTCAGGACAAAAAAAAAACAGAAATACTTGAAAACATCAATACCGGTGCTAAACCTGAAGCTCTAAGCGTGTCATTTCTCTCTCTTGCTTTGACGCAAAGAATATGTTAACATAGCACATAAGAACATTTGTTATTCAAAGACTTGTTTTGTCATCATCCAGAGTTTGAGTTGTATAGGTTTTATTTTCACATGTATGAGTAAGACTTTGTGGCAACTAAACTAACGTTTGGCATTTCCACGTAGCTCAGCAGCTATGGATTAGGTAAACGAGGTTTGGACATCTTTTATAGTTCTCAGATAGAGCTGGCTCCCTGAGCATCACTCCCAGTGACAACAATAATGGAGTCAAGATAAAAATGCAGCAGTATAATGTGCTGTAAGCAGTGACTAGCAAGAATAAAATCCCTTTAATGTGATAGTATCCTGACACTGATATCAGAATATTGCCTTTTAATAGGATTTCTAAAATTAGGAACCTTGAAATATGACATTAGTAGTCTGGCTTACGCGCTCCGGTCTTGGAATAACCTCCACAGCACATTGCAGGTCGTCAAAGTGTCTTTTTAAGAACTTATTTCAAATGTGTAAAACAAGAGTTCAAACACTTTTCTTAGTCTCTTGTTTTGAGCAGAACTCATTTTAATCTCCCTAAAGAAACACCTTTGACCTCAGTGGACATGTGTGAAATTATAAGTTAAACACTGTACATGTGAGAAACTCATTACAGTGTATCTTTATACTTGAGCTTATCAGGGAAATATCTGACTGTACTGTGATTTTTCAGACATGTTTTGAACTACCGGTACACTGAATTGTCATTGTTTTTTTATATTGTAATATTCTTTTCTAAGCAGTATTATAGTATTTGCAAAACAAATGTCCGTGTTTATGTTCTTGTTCTGGTTTTTTGTAGTAACTTAAATAAATAAAAGCAACATTTGTATTTTGCCTTTTATTGTTTCTACAGCACAATAAAAAGTCTTTAAATTATGTTAATGTCAGTTTGTTTTGCAAATATGATAGATATATATCATCATCAAGAAAAATATTTTTTAAAAATTAATTTTACAACATTTTGGAAACAAGTTTATTAATGGGTAGTTATTTTGAAGATCATCTCTTCCGTTTATTTGTTTTTATACTATACAGCTTTTAGTTTTTATAGTTTATACCATTCTATATCCACCTTTAATAAGTCACCTTCCCCTTCTGTTGGTGATTTTATTCTTATTTATTGAATCAAATCAAAGTATTGATCTATCTCTCTGATAAATTACTAGTCTGAATTTTTTAAATGTTCGGATTTATTTTGTTAAACCTTCAGTTATAATAAAGTTAAGTTTAACAGGTGAAATGGAAATAAAGAAATAGTAACGAAATATTAAATATGTTTTTCTTTTTATAGTATTTTCATGAATTAGGGGTAAATTAATGTTCCATAGACATTAATAGACATGAAATGTCTAGAAATCACTGATAAAATATGATTTTATTTACTCATTATTCTTTGTAAACACCACACACCAATTTGAACACTATTCTTTTACTCTCATGGATATAAATCCAGTTCAAATAAAATACAGCATATAAAAATGCAGGAGCTTGCGGGCATTGATTGACAAAATGGGGTCATAAGCCAAAAAAGGTCTGCACTAACAGAGGAATGTCATGTTAGGGGATGAACAGTATTAAGAAAAGAATTAAAATCTGTCACAAGTTATTATAGGAAACCCGGGAAGTAGTTCCTGTGGCTGATGTCACAGATTTGTTACATGAAGTTACATGAGAGGCTTCATGTGGTGTTAGGATTATTTAATTTGTTTTAATGTTGTAGGTGAAAATGTTTCCACATCATTAAATGAGGATTATTTTACTTACTAAATAATACATTTACCTAAAGTGTTTTAGTGTTTAAGCATTGGTTTCATTTATTAGCCAGGCTTCATTTAACTCTCCTGTGTGTTTTTTTAAGAAGAAAACAATAGTGAAATAATGTATCGTTAAGACATCTTTTACATTAATGGTTTTTTTTCTTGTATCAAAATTAGTTTCATAAAGATTTGATGATAAAAGCTGTCAACATGTTAACTATGGTTTAGGCCCTTAAACTCTTTGTGTTCCTGGAGCACGCACACACATATTAGCAGCCAGATGAAACCACAGCGCTGTTGTGGTTGAGAGTTTGATAGCTCCATTCAGTGCGGATGTGCAGATGGAGCAGGCTCTCAGGTAGAGTGCTGTGAGCTGAGCATCCCTCTGTGATTACATATCCTGTGTCTGCTGATAAGAGACTGTTTAACCTTCTGCCAATCACAACCACAGACAATATTTGCTTTTCTCCAGAAAGTTAAATCATGTGCAATTCTGCAGGCGCTGCACGGAATCTAATCTCTCTGGCCATAAAAACAAAAGCTGTAGCAGGACAAAGTTGTGTTTCAATTTCAGAGGAGATTAGTTTTTAGGGGGAAAAAATGGAGTAAAGCTCTGACTGACAGCCTTAATGTAATGACTCATACCAAATAAGTTGTATTATTAATATCCCATTGCTTGTTTAATCTTTTCACTGCATTCAAGAGGATCTGTGCTCCATTTAAGGACTTTCATGGACAAGAACAACACCAGGTAATTCAGTGTTCATAAATGTACACTGAAGTACGACAACAATTTTCCTGTGGGTAAAGATCAGGGGAATGTGATCAGCTTCAGCCTCATTTCTATTTATGATGCACGATGAACTCTGACCTGTTTTTCTAGCCTCATGAGTGAAAAACAAGAAAATTAAGTACAAGGAACATCTACTAATAGTGAAACAGCAGTATTTGCTCCATCTCCTGGTCATTTTTTATTTTATTTTATATTCAATAATTCAGCTCTTATGCAGGATATTGCCACATTGATTTACCTATTTTTTTATTTTTTATTTTATTTTTTTATTCAGTTAGGTAGGGCCGGGTTTTAAAATGATAAAGACATACCAACATTTTTAAAACCATTATGAACTCTTCCAGTATTAAAATATCTACAGGCCCTTTGTCAATGCTGGAAAATGACACAGAGAATGCTATGGGTAAACGGTAAAAAGGGACGTCACCATAAACTGAAATCTAACTATCTAAAAGCAACCTTTTAGATTTATAAAAAGACACTTTTCTCTCACCCAGGGTCAATCAGGGATTTCAGATACTGTATTCCAGATGGATGGCTGTCCTGTAGGGATTTATTTTATTTTTTGTGAAATGCACTTATTATAATTTATATAACATAAGATTATTCCTGTAAATAGATGTCACTGACAAAAAAAAAATCACCGAAATCTCCTGTTCAGGTGCAGCTAGAATGTAGTACAACTACTGCCATAAATAACACACTGTAATAGTTGACTGAAACGTCAAGGAGTTTATTCACATTAATTCATGAATGTGTTCAATGGGCTCAGATTCTTAGAAATGTCGTCAAATGCAGACTAAAAAAATAAAAGATTGTGAATTCCTACTGTACAAATGTGTTGAGATTGTGAATTCCTACTGTACAAATGTTTGATAGACTGAGGGTAAAGACAGGTTTGGGACTCCAGATCTATAGATATTGATACAAATTAAATTAATTGAATTGTGTTATTATTAACGATATTGGACTTCCTACAGCTGATTAAAACAAATGGCACAGACCTCTCAGCATAACATTTAGCTTTACTTAACCTGATGGCCGACCTACAACTCGCCTCTATAGACACACTGTACAACATATGCCCCGGCGATGTTACGTGCCCCGTGATCATGGTAAAGTGCAGGGTATCAGCCCTCGGCTGCTGCACTGTGACAGGCTGCAGCCCCCTCACATCATTACACACCATTACTGTTGGTAATGAAGTCAACAGCTCCCAAGCACAGGATACCCTCTCTGCTTTGTAACTCATTAAATCATCTAACATGAGAATAACCCAGGGCTCAATTATCAAGTCACTCAGCCAGTGTTTTCTCACCTCCCCCTCTCCCATGTTCTCTTCCTCCTCCTCTCCTCCCCCTCAAAACTGAAAACCATCAGGCTGGACTTGTTTTCTTACTCTGCATGATGATGGATTCCTAAATTAAGGGTATGAAAATACATCTCTATGACAACATTGTCTTTCTGAGTAATATTCAATGAAGGTGCCCACCACTAAAGTGATGTCAGTGCCCTGGGGCCAAGGTAATGTTGTATCAGTTGACTGAGTGCAGACAGGTTTTTAGATTCATTTGAAATATATTAACTTACAAATACAGAATTTGGATTTCTAATGTGCTGTAATGATGTGACAACGCAGAAATCTGCACAAGTGGAGGTCATCTATCGGAGGGTTTGCACTTTGTTCAGTGGGGAAATCCTCTTTTTTCACTCCTGGACTTTTATCACAAGGTCACCAAAAAATCCACCATCTGCTCTTTCACTTTCCTTCAACCTTTCAAGTCAGCCACCTGCCACACTCAGATATAAATGTTTTTAGCCTCCTGGGAGGAAGTCTGTAGATAAACATCAACTATATGAACACACCTATACTGTAGTAGATATATCCTGTCATCTTTGCCCCCCGCCCCCCCACACACACCAGAGTGTGGAGAGATGCTGTGGCTTTTCAATCAGTGTCACAACAGTGATTCCTACACTAAACTTAGCCTTTCACCTCTACCTGGTAATAGAAAATGAAACTTTCGTTTTTTGGGGGGAGGGGCTGAAACTGCTGAACAAAGATGAGAACAACACCACTGGTGAAGACAAATGCTTTAAGGCATCCGTGGAAGTTCAAAAAACATTTATTGGAACTACTAATTTACTAATCAATACATGGCAACATAAACATGGTCATCTCTTTTATTTGGCATCCTAACACGGCTCCACTCCTTACTTGACAACACAATTTTATCCACTGACCTTCAATTCTGTGCATTTGTTTGAGCTGTAGGCAGAAGGTGAAGCTATTGCGCATCATATCTGCTTCCGTATCAAGACACAGCTCATCTTGGCTGCACCGAAGCATTAAATTAGTGCAGTGACAGATACGACAAAGGGCTGTAGTTTGGTTTAATTGCCAGTAGTTAAATATGGTATGAGGGTATACGAAAGCTGGGCTGGGCGTGTTCGGGTCATAAAGCACTAGGAGCTGTCTTTGTGGAGCGGAGCAGAAAATCACTTCTCTGGGGGAGAATCCTTGACATGTTCCGTGACAGATGAAATCATTTCCAAAATAAAGCTCAAAGTCTTGGCATACAAATGATCTTATTTCAGCAAAAAAAAGAGAAGAAAACAGCCAAAAATATCTAGTACGGTTCTGATATACCGATAGTACCGCACATGAATGAGGCAACGTTTCAGTCCCTGTAGAACGGGGCTATTCTTGTCTGTAAAAATGCCCCGTCACATCAGTAACTTTTGCTGTGGAGTAATTAAGTTCAAAGATAATATGAGATTCCATCCTATTCATGAATCTTTAAGTGGGAAAGATCCGACTTTAAAATGCCAAGGACGGTGTCTGAGCTCAGTGTGGATGACTGATGGCCCAACAGTCATAATTGTGTCATTACCACCCTGTGGAATATCATCATTAGTCCCTGTGGTTTCTGCCATAATTAATGAATTGGGAATGACTGAGGGGATGACAGAGGATGAGGGTTTGTCTGTATTTGAACTCCGCCGCAGTATAGTCTTTAACTTTGAGTCAAAAAAAGAGGAGAAAGAAGAAATCATCAGAAAATCAGGCGTATCACAGCCAACGCATAAATTGAATTTCAATATTAATTTGCCCGCTCAAAAGACAACACCCTGCATGAACTAAAAATTAAATGTATACTGCTGTTCCTGTTATAAACCAAGCTCTGGCGTTAAACCCTACATTTCCTGACATTCCCATTACCCTTTTGACGTTTTTTTTCCCAGTGTATTTGTTCCCACATGGGACATCTCAGGTTCAACTCCAGTCAAAACACAAAACATTCAGTCTATGGACAAAGCAAAGCCACGGGCCAGTAAGCTCTCTGGCCTGTGGATTACCCACCCAATCTTCTTCAGCTCAGAAACCGTCAGGAAATTGAATAAGTATGGACGGATATCAGTGTGAGGAATGAGGTGAGGGAGCAGAGCCGTGCCAGTGCTGGAACACATGCAGTATGTGTACTGCAGCTAGTTAACGTGGACGACGCCAAGATGAGAATCTAAGATGACGGACTTA